TTGATAGACCGATACCTTGGATAGGTCCTCGACCGGCCCATTGTGAGGGCATTCCTGGAAGCGAGGATCCATGTCATCCTCACGCCAGACTGTGGCTCGATCCTGCTGATCGCCATTGCCTACTAAAGGATGCAAACTGGTGCTCCCTTTCCCTTGCACGCCATCTACACTGCCCTTACATAGTAGTCGCGAGATGCGTGTTAAGATCCACTTACTTCTTCTATCCCTGTTAGGGTGGGGAACTTCATCTTCAGATGGTATATTGAGGTGACTGCCTTGAAGCTTTGTAGTAGAGGTCGTCTGAAGATGCCATTGAAAGCGGAAGGATAATCTACTACTAAAAACTCAGTCATTTTGGTCAGCTCATTGATTTCTCCCAACGTGACTTGGAGCGAGATCATCCCTTTGGGAATCAAATGATCACCAATGAAACCGTATAAAGGGGTAGAAGCGGGCTTAAGATCTGCCTTGTCCAGTTTCATATTTTCAAAGGCTTGCTGAAATAAGATATTCACGGCGCTTCCATTGTCCACCAGTATCTTGTGGACTTCGTAACGACCTATTTCAGGTGTGATGACAAGAGCATCCTCATGAGGATGATGTAATAGCACCACGTCTTTCTTGGAGAAGGTGATTTCCTCCTCTCTGCGAACCTTGGTGGGTTGCAGCATCATGCTCATAACATTTATGGGGTCATGACTGGCTTCCTGAGCATACCTTTCCTGGGCATCTCAAGAGTTCCTCGCGGGATATGGTCCTCCAAAGATGATCCCCACACTGTAGAGACCTTTGCGACCATGATGCCTCTTCCCTGGTTCCTCTTGATTTTTTCTCCCGAACGGGAGCTGAGTCATTAACATACTCTTTGAAGTGCCTCTGTTTAATGAGGTTCTCAATTGCTTGCTTGAGGGCCCGTCACTCATCAGTATGGTGCCCATTATCCCGATGATAACGATAGTACTTTTTATTGCTTCTGGTTAAGGGGGGATTCTTCATGGGCTTGGGCTCTCTGAGCAAATCGGCCTCCTCTGATTTATCTAGAATAGCTGATACCGAGGCATTTAGAGGAGTGTATTGACTCTTGTCGCGATCGAGATGAGGAACTGGGCCATAAGATTTCTTGGGCTCATACCGCTACTTCTTTTCTTTTTGCAGCCCTCCTATTCTCCCCCCTGTTGGGAGCACTGCCCGACGGACCGGGGTCATGGTGACTAAGAGCTGCCACAGAACTTTGGATCCAGAGGTACTTTTCAGTAAGGTTGTAGAAGCGAGTGAGGGAATCATCATCCTCAGATTGTAGTTCCTTCCATAAGTTTGTCTGCAGGCAAACTCTCGCAACGATGAGAGTTTGAATAGACTCTTCAGGAGTATGAGCCACTTTGTGGAGCTCCCTATGGAACCTGTCTATATAAGATTAGAGGGGTTTATTCCTCCTCCCGCCGTATATTGCTCAGGTAGCTTAGCGGCATTGAGAACTTCCTGTTCGCTTGGAAGTGCCTCAAAAATGTCGAGCTCATTTGAGGTCATGAGCCGACTAATCCTACTGGAAGTGACCTGAACCAGTGCTTGGCATAGGCGGTAAGGGTTACTGCCAAGCAACGACATTTTTCCAAGTCAAAGACTTGGTGGAGTTCCATGAGGTCGTTGAACTCGTATAAATGATCCTACGGATTGGAATTCACATTGAATCTCGCATGTTGGGCATTCTGAATCTCAATGGGAGAGAGGTAGTTAACACAGCCGGAGAAAAGGGAGACGCCTCTATAACCTGCCCTTGCTCATTCTGCTGAGCCTTAAGCGGATCCAAAGCTCGCTGTAGTTCTTCAGTCTGAGGCAGAGGAGTTACCTGCGGATCATTTTTCACAACGTGGGTTCGACTCTCACGGTTGCAGTTAAGGAAAGACCACAAATCAGACTCTTCCTCACCTAGGTTGAAAGCTCCGACCAATCTCGGCACACGCTGGCTAGAGCCGTGTGATTGTATCGTGTGATTCGGGGAGTCTTCCCGACCTCCGCGGTGGTACGAACCGACCCGCAAAGGATGGGAATCCCCTGCATGATGACGACCAAAGTCGTCATTCTGGCGATATTGGGAATCTTCCCGCCTTGCACCTTTATAGGAATGCCCGTGCGTCGTGGCGCGGGATGGCTCATGCTGTAACATATCACCGAGATGCAATGCCACGGGTAATCTACCCGGGGCACGATCGGTGTTCACTAGTCCTTTAGAGCCATTGGGTCCGCTGTGTGCCACTTGCTTTCACTTTCTTTGACGTGCTGTAGTGCATGCGGTATGGGCTTTCACCCTTTTTCGCGCTTTCACGCTACCTGCAGGCGTTTTTGGCGGTGGCACTGCTTCATTGGATTCGTGGCATGACCCAATCCAATCGGTCTAGCATTTGGCAGACCGTTTGAACAATATTATTGAACCTCTCCAGGTAACTCATGACGGCTGGGTCGAGCCGTGAGCTTGAAGGATTATCTCCCGTGATATTCTGCTGAACTGGCGGCATTTCGGGAGAAGTGTCCTCCTGGATCTGGGGGATTTCTTCATTGCCATGATTGGTTCGCTAAGATTCGAAACCGCGAAACATTTGCTTTTGTGGGACTGATTAGTCATAGATTTTTCTGATGAAGAGTAGGTACTAAATTAGAGACTTCATTCTAGCGCCAAACTGTTGATGCTTGATTTTGACACCAACTATTTGCACGTGTAAAATGCTAAAATGACTTAGAAGACACACGTGATATGAGGGGATTGAATCAAATAAAAGGTGAAGAGCAATATTTAAAGTTGTTTGGATACTCTAAAGCGAATCCTACGTCCACTGCTATTGTATTAATAAGAGAGAGTGATCAGGTCACGTTCAGCAAGCTTGGTTACAGTTTAGAGAGATAAAGAAAGAGAGAGAGAGAACTATTTCAACGTAAAATCAGCTAATCTTTTCAAATGAGAGGGAAGTCCTCTATTTATAGTGAGAAAGGTCAAGGTAATGATTATGAAGGTTGCAAGTGGGTAGGTGCCGTACAAATCCTTTCTTTGCGTCCCATTGATGACCTGCCTGAGGGATTTCCTCTATTAAAGCAGGGCTTTGACACGTGGGCGATCTCCAGCTGCTTGCTGGCCTGACACTCATATGCTGCACTGACAAGAGCCATGCCACTTGGGCTAGGCGTGACGTGGTCGCACCTAGACGACGTAAAACCCCTCTGAACTCTGACCATCCTTTACTGACGAGGCTCCATGTCAGCCCTGCTTTTTCCGGCATAACAATACTTAACGTCATATAGAGTACCAGAACACTAGGGAAAGTGAGAAGCCACTTTCAATCTACTAGAATGAAGATTTCCCTCAACAAATTCGCTTTAGTAGAGAAAGTGAAAGATTATTTTTAGGTTGTGGCTTAGACTGAGGTTAGTGATCCATTTTTAAGTTTTGTTCAAGTAAAATATGTAAGATTACATTCATACCCTTCTTACCCTAATAGAAAGTAGACGGCTTTGGGCTATGGGGTAATGCTTGATAGATTTTAAAATCCTTTCAGGGGGAATATGAAAATAAAATTGCAATAGTTGGAATTGGAGTTACGATTTGGAATAAACCAAGGGAGGTTTGTGATTTTTGTTTGTAATCTCACTATAGCGACTTCTTTGAATNTTCTGATTTTAAGTTTTTGTCAATAACTTTTTCTTTCGCATAGTCGTATGCTGCTATTACTTCATAGACATTTAAATCCATTAGCTGAAGACTGAAGTTGATGATTGTTTTGGGAATATTTTATCACTTAATGCCAATGGGAACTTGTTTTGTCACAATTTCAGCGTTCGATTAGCAATAAAGTATGTGGACATACATCAAGTTATAATATTAGTCTGATATAAATAGTAATTGAAGCTTGCAATATAATATTATAACAAGCCACACTTTTGGAACGTACTTTTGAAACCAATCCCCAAGCAATGGCTCACATCACGAGTAACATTAATCTCCGATTCTATAGGAATACTCTGTTAATTTTGTAAAAATTAGTATGTTGCGATAAGTTGCAGTGCAGATGGGATCCAAGAATTGTGATACGTTGGGATACAGTAGATTATTCATTCGCTGGATACTCTCCTCTTTGAGCTTCCCTTTCATTCAATATAGTCAAGTTCATTAATTTGTATAATATCGTATATATGTTAACTTCTACTATATACATTATTTCGGGTGATCGATTATAAAAAGTCAAAAAGATCATACGGGTTCTCTGTATTCAGCATTGTTCTCTCGTATCATTTTCTGTAGTCTCTTGGGCTTCAGTAAAAGTAGCCAATCTAAATAAAAATAAAAAATGCGTGGAAAAGGTCATAATATTTGATTGGCATAGTAGTTGAATGGATTTTATGTAATATTTGGTCTCTGTACAGCGCTGGAAACATATATATGTATGCATGGATTTTCAGAGTGAATGCCGGGGAAGTCGTTTACACAAATATTAACCAATATGGACTTAAAGACTTTCTCAAACAGCAGATAAAATCATTATGATTGAGCCCCATTAGCTAGCTCTACATTATAATTCTCACTTTGCCTCTGTTCCTGCTATTTGCTTTGTCAGCCACCAAAGGGTAGGGTAGCTGAAAAGGATATCGTTAATTCAAAGACAATATGAAGAAGAATGGCACTTGAAAGACTCTGATGCTCCTTACCAGTTACAGCTTAAGGTGTAAAATTGGGTTGCCTCACATTTATGATACAGCACTCTGATATACTCCAAGCGATTTAACTCATGAAAAATTTCTTTTAAGGAGAGGCCAATTTATCTGCGTTGTCCCTTCCAGTTCTAGCATTACTTTTTGAAAAGGAGCACAGCCTTCGTAATTGATTAATTAGTTATAAAGCCAAACAGTTTTCAGTTGTCACTTGACTCATTGACAAAAAAATGAAAACGAAACACGAATTAAGCAACATCATTTTATTCATCTTCTAACCAAATGGTTAGTTGCACAAGCACGACAACATTTTCTTCTTAATTTCTCTTACTGATAGACACAGCCACACTGTACTTTAGGTGGAATTTGCATCTAAAGGTTTATTCTATAAAAAGATAATTCTTATCACTTAACAAGAGACATCAACAATTCCTTCTAATTATATATTATAATGTATGGAAATGTAGCATTGGATAACTGAGTAGGCATCAGGAAAATCGATATATTTCTGGAACATGGCATAACCACTTGCAGACCTAAACTTCCCTGTCCCAGCAATCACAGGAACCTCTCTAACGGCCTCGTTCTGCCTATTAGTACCAAAAATCTGAAGAGTGCTGCCACTGTAGGCCTCGTTAGTGAACACAAAAGACATCATGACAAGTGAACTAGTTCCATCGGAACTTGCAACAACGTGCATGCCTTGTGCGCGTGCAACTGGAGCTGAATTTGGATCAGGGCCTTCTGTTATGGGGTCATCATGCACATAAACGGTTCCAAATTGAGTGGATGACCAAAGCTTGCCTGGAATGCCTGCAACCGGGAAGAATGTGGCATTTTGACCTTCTGAGACATCATGTAAGTAGAATGTCATATCGGTTTCTAAAAGCCCATTGGCAACATTAGCTACACTTATTATAATGCCTGCAACAAGAAGGAACTTTAAGGCTGCTGAGTTTGGTGCCATTGAAGAATAAGGAAAGAGATAATAAGAGTACTGTGTGCTGATTGGTTTATGGTTTATTTATAATTTAGATTTAACTGAGAGCATATACCTTAGCCGCCAACTGCTAATTTTGATTTGTTTAAACTATAGGCGGCATAGATTGTAAAAAATTTGATGGGAAAATCGACTTGCTTAGATATTCTAGTGCTTAGAATTTAATTGCAGATAATTAATGGGAAGAAGTTGTAGAAGCAATGTGTAATCTAACTCTTGACCATTAATAAGAGATGTTGGATGGATTAGAACTGACCTAATCTATACAAAAGATCCTTTTGTTGACATTATTTTATCATACTTGAAGTTCATGTGTTAAAATAGTTTATCCTCAAAATCCTTTTTGAAGTGTTCCTTGTGATACAAATCAATTAATTTTTTTCTCATAAAAAATGTGGAAATCAATATATATATGCAACTTAAGGGTCATCTTTGACAAGGGTAACTTTGTAAAAAACTTTGCCACGTATCGACCTTTTTATGTGCAAATCTAGAATACCCCAGTGCCCGCCAACCACGCGTAACTTGTCTGTGTAGTTAAAGAGCTTTTCTTTCTTTAATTTTTAATTTTTTATATTTGTAAATTAAGGTTAATTTAACTGACAAATGGTTTATCTAACAAGGTCTATTTTAGATTTGGTTATATTATTGTTTGTCGGTGTATATAAAAGGTATTAGTAGTTTTATTTGTTAGACTTTGATGATTAGCTGATAATACAAAAAAATAAAAAATTCCCAATAATTTTTTTTCTGTTTTCTCGTTCTCTAATATATATTTTCCTTTCTTATTATACATAATTCCTATGTGAAGAAGTGTGACAAATCTCTTGCTAAGATTTTTTAGACAAGATTGTGTTTCACACACATAACATATATTTGATTTTAATGTAATTTGAGAAATATTATATCATAATATCTAAAAGAAACTTGTTACTCATTTTCTTTGTTATGGGAGGATTTCATTACATTTTGAAACTCTTACTATGCTTGCTCTGGGTCCAACAGCTTAAAGAAACAAATTGAGTTTTAAATGCATTACTGGCAATCCTAAAAACAGAGAAGAGGGACTATCACTCAATTTGGGGGCAATGCTTATTGATCACAAATTGACAGTGACATCTGATGAAATTTTTTTGCCACACAGATTCTTACCATCAGTGCTCCATATGCGAGGCTGCAAGGAACCCAATCTATTTGTTTGGAAAAAGAGTGATCTACTATTTGAATTTCAAAATTATGGGAAAGAAAACTATAATTAAAAGGACAAACAAGTTTAGTTATATATTGATTGCGGTAAGCAGTCCCTATATTCACTCTCTCAATACATAAGGCATCATGTAGCCACTCAGCTACAACTGATTATAAGCCCCATCCAACAGTACTCTCATACAGACAAAACAAGATAATAACAGTTCACTGTTGCGAATTTGGCTCCTCACATATTCTTTTTGCCATCTGATTGTGACACACTTTGATCAATTGACTCTAACTGGCTACGAAGACTCTGATTTTCTTCTACCAAGCGATCATACTCGAGAAGGAATCCTTCAGATTGCTTTTTTAGCGCCTCTGCTTCAGCTTTAGAGGCATTGCATTCCTTTCCTTTTGTCTCGTGTTCAGATTCCAACTTCTTGATCTTTGTCTTCAATTTAGTAATTTCATTCTCCAAGCCTTTAAGCTCATCTGCATTTGCATTTTTCCCTTCTTCATAACTCCTGTTTTGCTTTTTTGCAGCTTCCATGGTTTTCCTGAGTAATCCAAGTTCTCTAATGTAATGGTGTAATCTATCTATCATCAGTGCGAGGAATAGCAAGAATCCTGCAAGCAACAATTTGTATCACAATCAAACACAAGAAGTAACAAAGGTGATGACCAGAAGCACAATTATAAGAGCACAGCACTAATTTTTGAAAGCAGAAGTTTCGAATGATAGAACTAGCTTTACATATGACAACAGTCAATAATCAACTAAATTGCAATAAAGCAATTTAGACACTAGTACCAAGGCGCAAGGCAATATTATTTCAAGCATTCACTGATTACTTATAATCCTCAAAACAACAATAATATGAAGACAAGAGACTAAATTTAACACACGAAAAAAGAAAACGAATATGAATAAATAACTCTCCCATACACTGAGAGCTTCAAAAGAATGAAGTAAAAAATTATAATAGATGAAACACTAAACTACAGGGAGGGTAAAAATTGATACTAAAACCAACATGTTCTTAACATTGAATTATTGACAAGCCATAACATGTCGCAAATTCAAGTATGATACAGTTTGAAATCTTTAATGGGCACAAAATCGAGGTTCAGCTCCTCGAGAATCAGGGCCACCTACAGGATACTAGATTTTCATAAATATGGATTCTGCAGAATCCCGTTTCGAATTAGCGGGTTCCAGGGATTTAAACAGTTTATGTATACAGTATCGAGTTGCAACATAAGGAGGGCAAATAGAATGACAGTCACCGTTCTTTAATTTAATTGATTTTTCAGCTAGAGCAAGCACATAAAAAAGTCCTCCAATTTTAAGATCAAGCAAAAGCTGAATTTAACAGTTCTCCCACATTAAAGAATAAATCAAATTATTGGACAGGAAAATAGAAGAATTACCCATAAGAGAAGCTTCGAGCATGTGTTTGGACATGAGGACCTGGTCAGTTGGATTGACGGCACCAGCCTCAAGCGTGCGTTGCTGGATCTTGACCATGCTATAAACGCTGGATATGAGCACAACGAATATAGTAGCACCCACCGTCTTCACCGTTACGGGGCCCCGCCCTCGCTTGACCCGATCCAGGCCCATTATCACCAGCTTTCTCAAAGGCGTCTTGAACAGCAGAGTCATGATCAACGCCATTTCCGAAAAGATTACCGTGTACAAGAGCTGTATCATGTTTGTTTCTTTGTTCGTTCAGTAGAAAAGTTCTTGGCAAGTGAGAATCGTCGGTGGGTTCGATTTTAGAATGGTTATGGTTCTGCACTGTGTGTGATTTATGATTACAGAGTGGCCGCTTGGGTTGTTGCAGCCTTGCAGGGATATCCGTGTGGAAAACAAATCAAACGTCGCCGCATCAATAAACGAAAATATGCTGAGTCATGGGTCTGTCTCTGTGGTACATGATGTGAATATGATATAGGGCATGTGACCGCGTGACCACGCTTTCACCACGCTGTCACTACATATAAGAAACATAAAATGATAAAATAGTTACGAAGTAGGATAATCTTTGGGGTTTGGCGAAACACCCATTGGTACCCAAAAGGTTTCAAAATGATAAACAGGTACCTTTTGTTAGTAAAAAGACTAGAATACCCTTTGAGAAATATTAGTCTATTTTTTTAATTACTTTTAGACCCCTTAAGTTTATTAATTCCATCAAATACTCTCAGAAAAAAGTTTAAAAATTAACAAAAACACCTTCATCCACCCATACTTGTAAGATTTTGACGGCCATCATCGGTGGTAGCCGGAATCTGTCACAATAGTCTACGCCATCACCGTAAATGGTTGGTAATTCACAAATCTGGCATTTTCCAGCCAGATCTGGCCGGAAACGACGGCCAAAGAAATGGTCGTCGTTGTCTATCAACGATGGCCAGATCTGTGAATTACCAGCCATATACGGTAGTGGTGTAGACCGTTGTGACAGATTCTGGCTACCACCGACGGTGGCCGCCGAAATCTAGCAAGTATTGGTGGGTGAGGGTATTTTTGTTAATTTTTAAACTTTTTTCTAGGGGTATTTGATGGAATTAATAAACTTAAAGGGTCTAAAAGTAATTAAAAATAGACTAATATTTCTCAAAGGGCATTCTAATCTTTTCACTAACGGAAAGTACTTATTTGTCGTTTTGAAACTTTTTGGATACCAATGTCGTTTCGCCAAACCTTAGATAGGTGTAAGTCGTTTCCCCATAATCCTTCACCAAATTTGTGCTGACGTATAATAACTACTAACCACCAGCACCAGCACTAGCACCGGCATCACATAAATATCATCTTTAATTAAAAAAGGGAGAATAATTGTTCCCACCCAAGGTTTGGAGAAATGACACTTTCCCACCCGTCAAGTTTTAAAACGACACTTTCCCACCCAACGTTATTACTGTTAGGAAGTTCCGTTATGAAGAAGGGTAGAATTGCCAATTCACAGGAAGCCGCAAAAATAAAAAATAAAAAATTGAAATCTCAGTGTCCCTGAATGGTTGCCACGTGTCCCACTAGAGTTGACTCTGAATAAAAAAAAGCGAGAATGAAAGGTTGGCTACCTATTCTTCCTATGCTCTGTAAATCTCCCCACTCTTTGTAACTGAAGCGATTGATAATGGGAGTGGTTTGAATACATGAAAATTCCGTCGACTGGCGACTTAGGGTTGGTGTGTAATTTGAGCTATTCTTAATGAAGCGGCTGGCGACTTAGGGTTGGCGACTGACGACGACGATTGAGAAAAAGGTTTGAAAGCAGTGATCGACAAGCTGCAATTGGCTACGATGACGAGTGAGAAAAAAATACATACGACGACGACTGAGCCGAAAGCCGTGGGTAATCTTTCTTTTTTTAGGTTAAAAAAATTGTTCTGTTTTTTGTTTTGTTTTGTGCTATTTTCGTTTGGTACTACAACAACAACAACTATTTCTTCACGGGCATAGTTAATCTAGATTACTTGTGGTGTTCACTTTAGTTGGTACCCAGTTCATGGAATTTTGAACTGTTAATAGTAAGTTAGCGAGTTTGTGGTTTGTGAGGTTATGTGTTGCTCTGTTTGATTGTGTTGTTTTTTATCTGGAGAAGAGAATGTGAGGTTGTTTGTACTTGTCATCTGGATTTCTTGGGCTGTGTTTCGGAATGCTTTTGTGGAAATTGTTATTCAGTACAAGGGGTTTTTGTAAAAGTACCAACAGATTTGTGCTCATAAGAAGGCACAAGTATCGTTATTGTAATTCTTAGAATGTAGTAACACGGCTTGCATGTTTCTTACTGATTTGCTCCTAGTTTTTTTCTTTTCTAAAAAATGAATATTTTTCTTACACAGTGGTTTTGATCCTCGATTATCTGCTACTATAGGTTAATTCCATTGGTGCAAAGGTCTTAGAATTAAATGTCACGAAAGTGCATGACAAAGAAATTGGGATCACTCAATGCCGTCTTTCGAATGGAATTTCTATTAGTTATAAGGTATAACTTTTTTTTGTATTTAATTCTCTTTGTTTTTTTTTTTTTTTTTTTTAATTAGATTTGGGTACTTTATATGTTTTTATGTATATTTGTATGTAATTTAAGATGTTTCAGAACATGGAAACGTTTGGTAAAGTAGATATTTTGTTGAGAATCAGTTTGCAGTCTTTTTCATTTTTGGGGTTAATTTTTTTTTTTTTTCTCCTTTGGAGTCTTGTTATCTTTCCCTACCTCTTCTCATAATATAAATTTCAATTCTTATTATTATGAAGCCTCTATCTTTCAGTTGCTATTATTCATTGCATTGAAATGAGAAAAACAACATGATCTCTAGCTCATTTTTCTCATGTACGCACATTGATATGGGTATGTGTTTGCATAATTGATTATACTTCACACTTTATACCCTTGTTGCTATTCAGATTTCAAAAAATAAAGCTCAAGGAGGTGTTATGTGGTTATTGTTGGCGGTGGGTGAGCAGCTAAAAGTTCCGAGTCGAGAGGAGTTGTTGTTATGTGTGTTTGAACTATCAGGGAGGGTGGCCGTGTGGGCAACTTGCAAGGAAACAGGTAAATTAAGTTATATTCTATGTAGTTTTATATTTTTTTGTAATTTCAAGGTTACACTCCTATGAATAGTATGCACACACATATACATTGTTCTGTATTGGTTACCTTTTACGTATGCAAGATATGTCTTCATGTGTCGTTAAGGTCTGGAAATTTATTTCTTGAGTTATCTACAAATGTGTACTAATGGAACCAAGGTTTTGCTTGTACATTAGAGGAAAAATATAAAAGCACATTAGAGGAAAAATATAAAAGCATGTGCGTGAAAATCAGATGCAAATATGTATAATGTAGTGAATTAAAAAGTGCATTTCTATGAATAAAATCATTCCCCTCTTACCCATCTTGTTCCATTCTATTACCTTATCATAATTAACATTTAAGTTAGGAAGGGCTTGTGACCTCAAAGCATTGAGAGTTACTACAGTGAGTTTTCCCATGTTGGGTGATGCCAAAGTTAGTTACATGTAATACTTTGGAATACTAGTTATAGAAATGCTAGATGTACAAAGACTCCTACAAAGAGTCTTTATACAAAGTGATGTGGTAACTATCACCACTAGTTTGTGAAAAAAAAGAGAAGATTGATGTGAAACTAGTGGTGTGACAGCTATCACATCACTTTGTACAAAGACTCTTTGTAAGAGTTTTTGTACATCTAGCATTTCCCATACTAGTTATTACTACTTAAAAATGAATCTTTCAGTCCTTTTTGCTGTGATTGTTTAGTGAACTACTATGCACACTTGAAACCTTTGTTTGGAATATTATGTCTTCATATCTTTTCCTTTCTGAAGCACCTATAAATACTCCCAGCCTTAATATTTGATTTTGGATTGTGGATACGCTATGACAAGACAAATTGGAGATGGTTTCTTGGTGGAAGAGCAAAAAGATAGTGAAGAAAGTTTTGAAGATCCAGAAAGCAAAGGAAAAGCAAGCTTCAAGGGGCTAGAAAGTGGGTGGGTGAAAGCAAAACTTTCTGGATTTTGGGAAATTAATGAGAAACTGGAAAACCTGATTTTTCTTGTATTGAATTCCTTATTTTTATTGGGTTTGAATTTACAAAATCTTTTGTATGCACTGTAATTTTACAATCTGGATTCTTATTTAAGCAAATTAGAATGCCAATACTTGGTTTATTTTGGTTTAAATTGACAAAATTAAAATATGCAACAACTATAAGGACAAACTGGTAATTTTAAAGGTTTTTAATTCATAAAGAACCAACGGTAACGTCATTCATTTCTAACATTATTTTTAATAAAAATCTGGAAGGAAAAATTGGTAATTTACATTATATATGAGGGCATAAATAATGGCATGTCATTAATTTCAGATTTAAAGAGTGGAGATATTGGTAATTAAATATATTGATATAACATATTTCATATAAAAAATTATTAAGTAAAATATTTAAGGGTGTATTTGTTTTTTTAGTAAATAATAACGATATTTCGAATGGAACATAACATAGGGTGGAAAATGTTATTTTGAAACTTGATGAGTGAGAAAGTGTCGCTTCGCTGGGTGGGACAAGTCGTTCTCCCATTAAAAAATTTATACAACCATTTCAATCACTCATAATTTTTAAATCACATTCATGGCACATCCTCTGTTTAATATTGTCCGTTCAGATCATGCTATTGGGACACGAGCTTTAAAATTTAAATCAAGTATGTTGGGATGGTAGGCCGAGCTCAAATTTAAGGCTTGATTGGATCCGTTAGATTGTGAGGGAAGCTATTCGCTTCGCCCAAGATAATGGAAATTCTCTGAAATTCTTTGAAAACTATTGTAAACTACTCCATTGTATACAAATTCCAGTAGTTGTGTCATATTATTCATCATGATCCGGGCCGGTCCAGGATGGGTGCAAAATTTTGGGTCCAGTAGATTCTGATGTTCTATTCTTGTATCCTGTCTTATTTGTAATAAATAAATGTACATCAAACTTTTTCAATTGATATGATGATCATTTTTTTAGTAATGGGCTGTTATATATCATTAATTATTCATTACTTTTATTCAACCGAAATAATTTATTCAAATGATAATTAATCAATTTTTGAACTTTTTACATGTATTTTTAGTTTAGTTATATACAGTATATGAATAATATATACTCATCAATATGCCTTATAATTAAGGCAGAATAACAACAATTTGGTACTAAAAGGTTTGGAAATGACAAACAATCACTTTCTGTCCAGAACTGTTAGTAAATTTCATCTACCATAACATAAAAACATAAAAGACTAAAACGCTCTTATTATTTTCTTCTTTCTCCTTCCTTTTTCTTCTCCACCGCTTTATCTCCTTCTCCAAGATTTTGGATGATGTTCATGATGACAAATAATGTGAGAAGAAATCAAATAAGGGTAATAAAACAAAAGATTTTAGAGGCTGAAGAAAATGTGAAGAAACTGAAAAAGGCGTATGAAATGACAAAAACTGAGAGGAGACAGAAAGAGGGTTGTGAATGCATAGCATCTGGACAAATGCAAGCAGGGATTGATCGGAAAGCAGAAGATGAGAGGATCAAAGCAACTCAAGAGGCTCTTGAGCACTGTAAGATCAATCTTGAGGCAGTTATTAATGTATTTAAGCAAGAAAAAATTAGGATTCTAAGTGATACCCTGGGACCATCTTGTCATGAAAAAAACGATGTATCCTTGGAGATACCCACACATGGAGAGAATGGGGAGGTCATGGAAGTAACTCAAGCTTCTTCTAAGTGCAAAGAGATGGAAACAAATTAAATTCAACTGAAGTGGCGAATGAACTGGATTAAAGAGGTTTCTGAAGTTGAAATAGCTGGTTCGGCTCAAGCGGTCCTTGAGCACAAAGAGACTAAGAAGTAAGTCAACCATACAACTAAGGCTATTGCTTCCAATTACAATAGGGTAAACTTAGGAAACATTGATATAGGTGTACCGCAAAAGCAAAATGATCCACATGGAGAGGCATTCAAGACTGTCTGTAATGGTGGAAAGCATGTTGAAGAATTGGCTTGTGAATCTTAAAAAAAAACTTTGAAGATGTTGAGGAACTTGACGCTGCAATTGAACAAGAAGAAGACAAGGGTACTTTGAATTTTCCTGTGAGAGTTGGTTGACAGTGGGAAGAATATGGAGGGAACTAGGCTACCTAGTATCTTTCAAGCAAAAGAGGAAATGACAAAGATATACAATGATATCAAGACAAGCCAGAACACAGAAAGAAATGAAGAGACCTATTCTAAAACCACAGAAGTCGAAGGTTCTATGCAGAAAGAAGGGGAAATAGAGAAGGAAAATGTGAGAAAGGTAGATAAAAAAAAAAAAAAGAGAAGGAAAGGGAAAAGGAGAAGGAGAGAATAGTTGTTGAAAGAGCAATCCGTAAAGCTCATGAACGGGTCTTTACTAAAGCTCAAGAAAGGGCAAAAAGAGCTGCTGTTGAGAAAGCAATTGCAGAAGCATGTTGAAGGGCAATGGTTGAAGCTCGAGGAAGGTTAGAGAAGGAGATTTGTATAAAGCGATGGAGAAGAAAAGGGAAGAGGCAAATAGAAAGAGAAAGAAGAAAATAATAAGGGCGTTTTAATATTTTCTATCAATGTAGACGAAATTCACTAACAGATCTGGACAAAAAGTAGCTCTTTGTCATTTCCAAACTTTTTGGGTACCAAATTATTTTTACAATAAACTTTGCTTGGGTGTAAGTCGTTCTGCCCAATGTTTCGAACATCAGACCAAACTGTAACCCATTCAAGGGTTCGGTTTTTGGTTTGACCGATTGGATCAGTCGGTTGGACCATATCTTATAAAACTTTTTCAGTCTCTAGATGCTTCAAATTGATCCAAAACACCCCCTATAATTTTGAAATCTATCCAAAACACTCTTATCGCTTGAAGAGACTGGTGAGTGGTGGCGGCAGCGATGATTGATGACCAATCGAAGTTTGGAATCATGAGGCTTTTGATGTATAGGTGCCGACGAATCTTATGGTGGTGTTAGGGAGTTCTACCAGCATCGAAATTTGTCGGAATCAAGAAGGAAGTCTGGCGGTCGCATGAACTATAGGTGGACTGCGAGCGACGAAAGGCTGGATGACGGCCATTGAAAATGGATGGGTTTTGTCGTGAAGATACTGTTAAGTCTAATGGTGGTATTTTTTCCCTTGAACAATGCCAGAATTCGACGAGATTGAGTTACGATTGGACCACGATTCAATATTATTCCGACAGTCCAACCGAGGCTCAATCCAGTTTTATTAAAAATACCAGTTTTTAGAGGACACCAAACCATAGATGCCATCGGCTCTTGGTCGAACTGATCCAACTGAACGATCTGATCCGGTTTTCAGAACACTGGTTTTGCGTATAAGTAATTACTAATTAGGCTCTTGATTTTGAGTATAGTAAGTTGTTAATTGTTTCGCTACTCAATCTGCCCTTTACGGTCAACTTTCCAGAACGCCACGGTGGACCTCGATTGGTACCTGACGTGTCTTTATGTAATTCGACCAAAAAAGAAAAATCTAAAAAACCAAAAAAAGCGCACGTTCGACGATCAGACGAGAAAGTTTTTTCTTCTCGAATCGTCTGTGTATAATTTCCATTCAATCTGTAAATCTTAGCTCAAATCGGTTCCAGTTCTAGATTGCTTTGAAGAAATGATTTGGGGAATTGTTCGCCGGAAAATCACTGCGGTATCATTTTTTTTTCTTTTTATTTTTTCGGTAATAAATAGCTGCTTAATTTATATTAATAATTTCTATTATGTAATTATGTTGAAATTAACAGACTCGGGTGATTGGACAGTCATTCTCAACGATTAGGCCAAGATGTTTTATGACTGCGCGGAAAGAGGTGGTGAAAATTTAATGTTTTTTTTTTTTCTATTTGTTGTTGATTTAATTTAGACTTGAATCTTGGATCTTAGTTGTTTACATATAATTAATTATGTACAGGCTATTATTTCTTGCAAAGGTTTTGAGCGTATTCAGAGTGCTAGCTACCACATTTTTTCAGGTTTTCTAATTTAAAGTAATTAAATGAAAATAATATAGACATATAGGTTTGTATTTGTTTTTTGATTATTGATATGCTCATTTTCTTTTTATTTGTAGGCAGTTATGTTCCTTCTAAGCCAAGAAGGTAAACCAGCACTGATATTGAGCCTCTCTATATATTTTATAATTATTAATAGCTCATAGTTTCATTCAAAATCTAACCTACTAATGATTTGAAGAAAATGATAGGAAAACAAAAGACTTAATCGCATGTATCTCGGCTTCCATTTTCAGTCTACTATTTTGAAAAAAGTTATACTTCCATTTTGCTAGCAGGGAAGTTACTGAACTGATTCAGACTGAATCTTTTATCGGATTGAGGAGTAGATCATTCTCTTCGGATAATGGTATGTGGAATTAATTAAAAGCTTGTTTGGGTGACATCAGATATTTATAGTTTCAAATGCCGCAATTCTGATGGCAATATTTTCATGGATTGTAGGAGACCTGGTTGATGCTGTTGTTCCTTTCATGGGTGAATCCATTTCTGACGGAACTTTGGCTAAGTTTTTAAAGAGTAAGTTATCCACTTAGTTATCTTTGTAGATGATTTAAATTGTTAAGAGCTTGTCAAGGCCAAAAAAAAAAAATGACAAATAAAGGTTTTGTCTGATTAAATGTGAGAAGAATTGCTCACACACATGCATATGTCATGCTTTTTGAAACTCATGTTATGACATATTATGAGCAGAACCTGGTGACAGAGTTGAAGTTGATGAGCCAATTGCTCAGATTGAAACTGATAAGGTATTTCTTTGATAACATCTACTTATAGACCTTGAAAATGTGAATTACTGCAAAAGCTGGTTGGTAGGAGAAAGTGTTCAACAAGATTGATCTGTTTATTTTACTGCCAGGTGACGATTGATGTTGTGAGTCCTGAAGCTGGCACTATTCAGAAGGTAATATTTAAGCGAAGGATGATGTTCAATTGTTGAACACCATGACCGGTTTTACTTCTTACTTTTTTGAAAATGAATTGAGTTCTGTTATGGTGAATGTCTTTTCTAAGTATCTTTACTCTGATTGGTACTAGCTTGTAGCCAAGGAAGGTGAAACTGTGGAGGCTGGTACAAAGATTGCTGTCATTTCAAAATCAGGTGAAGGTGCAACACAAGCTTCTCCAGTAGAGAAGACTGAATCCCAGCCCTCAGCAGCTGAAGAAAAGGAGACTGTAGAAAAGAAAATTCCTAAAGCAGAAGCTGCCCCTGCTATAAATGATAGAGCCCCCTCTCCACCACAATCCACAGCCAAAAAACCTTCTTCACCACCTTCAAAACCTATGGCTTCGGAACCCCAGCTTCCTCCCAAGGATAGGGAGAGACGGGTAAGTTTTAGATTTATGTTATGTATGATAGGAATAGCGTACTGATTTCTTTATACATGCTTTCTTCATGGTATTTGAATTTGAAATATATTGCATTAATTTCTTATTCCTAGGTTCCTATGACAAGACTCAGAAAAAGGGTTGCTACTCGCTTGAAAGATTCTCAAAATACATTTGCAATGCTTACCACATTTAATGAAGTTGATATGTAAGTTCAGATTCATTCATGCTGTTTGTTTTAGATGTGGCTTACTTCCACTTGTTTAAATAAAGTTTTCTTGATTTTTAAACTGCCTTTGTGTTCTAAATTTCAGGCTTATTAATGCTTCTAATAGTCATGAATAATCTATAATCAACATATTGCATATTGATTAAATAAATGTTTTGTTATGACAAAATTGATGTAATTTTTCCCTTAATATGCATTTTATATCTCTGGCTTTGCCTTGCGTACAATTGTAATTCTTGGCACTCAATATTAATGTCATTCCCATCTCAATTAAATGAGAAGTGTTCTACAGTAATGAACAAGATAATTTTTCTTCCATATAGATACTCCTGTCATTGTTTCTTCCCAGTTTGAGACAGCGTTATACAGCTCTTCACCCTTGCTTCCTTTGTTAAAATTCTCTATCATGCAGGACTAACCTGATGAAGCTCCGCTCAGATTATAAGGATGCCTTTGTTGAAAAGCATGGAGTGAAACTGGGATTCATGTCAGGTTTTGTCAAAGTATGTGCCATTTGTTGTGCAAATTGTTATTCTTTTGATTTTGGACTCTGTAATACATTTACATATGCTATGAATTTACTGTTTATATTTACTTTCTTTTTTGTTGGGTGTGGGGTGGTAATTGTTTTGTTTAGGCTGCAGTTAGTGCACTTCAGCATCAGCCCATTGTTAATGCAGTCATTGACGGTGATGATATCATATATAGAGATTACATTGATATCAGCATTGCTGTTGGCACGCTAAAGGTATGTCTGTATTTCATTTAATTGTTCACACTCTCAGATTGTGGATTTGAAATTTGAAACTTCAAATTTTGAAATCTTGAAATTTGTGACTTATTTATAATTAGTTGGAAGAATTGCTGAAAAGAAATGAAATAGCCTTGAGTACTAAATAAACTACTTAAATTTGATATGTTAGGCTTTTATTATATTTACACTAGTTGCATGGCTGGTGATTAGTAGTTGTCCTTAAGGGGTAGGAGAGGACAGTACAATGCTTAATTTTTTTGGGAAAGAAGTATTTTATGATCTTTTTGAGACATAGTACTGAAACAGGTTCCAATCACTGGAGATTTCAACTTAATAAAACCAAGGGTCTTGGATCATTGTATAACACCTGATTGCATCTTTTTTATTTATAGTGAGATAAAACTGATATTGTAGGCTGTTCTGTGTGAGAAATTTCAATGTCATCATTGTCAAAGTGTCCACATAGTAAATGATCAAACAATGTATCATATGGTTTGCTCGAACGTCATTTAAAAAAAAAAAAAAAAAAAAAGAGGTTTACATGACGTTTTCTTAGACAGTGTTTTGAATCCTTGGTTAATTTATCAGAAATTAATAAATGAAGAGACTCAAACTACATGCTCATTATTAATAAAAGCTTATCCCACTGCTGGTGACATGATGTTCACCAATGTTATTTCCATTTTTACATCATATAGCAAAGACGAATTGCAGTATTCTATCCCATCAATTTTTGTATACAGTTTAACTAACCCAAAAAATGCATGTTACTTAACAAAGGGTCTTGTTGTTCCGGTTATCCGGAATGCTGGTGCAATGAACTTTGCTGAGATTGAGAAGGGGATCAATACTCTAGCTAAGAAGGCAAGTGATGGATCTATTTCAATTGATGAGATGGCTGGAGGCACATTCACAATTTCCAATGGCGGTGTCTATGGAAGCCTTTTGAGCACACCAATCATCAATCCTCCACAGGTGTGCCTCTATAATTAATGCCTGATTATTTTTTTAATTTCTCCGTTCTATGTAAAAGGTTATATCCAAAAAATTGGTTACACCTTTGCTTTGAGAACAGTTCTTTTGATTTATAATTCATATAATTAGAGAATTTCACAATTAATTTTCATTTTTGGCAGTCTGCAATATTGGGCATGCACTCTATCGTAAGTCGCCCTATGGTTGTTGGAGGTGATATTGTGCCGAGGCCAATGATGTATATTGCATTAACATATGATCATAGGCTTATTGATGGAAGAGAGGCTGTGTTTTTCTTACGAAGAATCAAAGATGTAGTGGAGGATCCCCGCAGGCTTCTGCTTGACGTATGAATAACTGATTCACATCTTACTGGCACATGAGATTTGGTATAATTTGTTTTCTAAAGTTAAACTTTTACTTGAATAAATCTCCGAGATTTAAAATTTTGCAGAGATACCGATATTTGTTGCCAGAGCAGCTCTTGTTTTGGGTAAAAATGCTTTGGTTGTGCATTGTTTCGGTTTTCAGATTCCGGATGGGCATATATTGAAATGACGGGACGTTCATGTTTTCCCGTATGAATTTTAATCCACATCCACTTTTACCTTGTGTGATATTAGCTTCAAATATTAACTTAGGATAGGACTTAGTTTCATTAATCGAGCGATCCTTGGCAAGCTTCACAGATTAACGTTGAGGGAAGTTAAGAAAATTCCAACTAAAATGCATTTTATTAATTTGAGAATCCTGTACCTTGTGACCGATTTGATTTTGACATGCACAAAGGCAGACTCCGATCGGATGTACAATTCTATTGTTGCGTGTCCCTAATCCATTTTATTCACAGGTGACGACCGAATTCTATTTCTCAGCACAAGTTAAAAATTGAAACTACTGTTTCATTACTACTAAAGTGCTCCACCTCACCCATAATTCGACTCGTTTCTAGATTCTTAAAGCCTAATGTAGATTATGTAGTCATCGATTACATTGACGTTAATGTTTTCATGTTTTCAATTTCAGGAGAAGCTTTATTTACACTAGTTGACTTTCGTTTACAAGGCTAATACATTATGCTTACAATCTGAAACAAAATTTATCCAGTCTTATGGGGGCAGATAACCTATAAAACTGTGAGCTTATGTCACAAATAAAAATCTCATGTCAGCCTCTGTCAATTTCCCCAAAGCATCTGCACTGCCACCTACAGTCCTGTGAAAGGGACAAAAAATTGTTAGAACTAAATTGCACTATGGCTCAGACCTATTATATTCAAAATACACAAAAACAATGGCAGATAAAACAGGCTTACCCTTCAAACACTAGTTCCTTCTTCTCTTGCAGTTTCAAAACTCTTTCCTCAATTGTGTTTTCAATCACAAATCTCACAATCCTACAAATGAAGACAATGTTACCCTCTGTACAGAATGAAGAAGAAGAAATGTAGCTTATGTTTTCAGAGATCTTGTGACATTAAAACACTGAGCAAAAAGCCCCACCTGATTGGCTTATACTGTCCTATCCGATGGATTCTATCTTGAGCCTGTCGCTCCACAGCTGGGTTCCACCATGGATCCATCAGAAAAACCTAGACAGGAACAAAACATGAAGCCAATATTCAGAATAAGACATCAAAGCCTTAATGTTTAAGGACTCACAATCATAGTCCCAGAAGAAAATGAAGAAGCTCACAGCAAAGAGCCATCAAAACTGAAGTAGTTAGGCAAAAAATAGAGCTGCCTGAAGGCAGGAGTAGTTTTCCTCAAGCCTTGATCATGTAATCCCCACACATGTAATCAAAGTAAGAGGGAGTTAAGAAGGGCATAATAAGTTGAAGAAATGAAAGAAAAATCATTTCAGAAATTCTCTTCCAGTTCATTTCAAATGTGATAACCATGCTCATTATAAAAAAATTAAAAAAAAAAAAAAAAGTTCTAACAGACAGCTTTCCTCAACACAAATATAAAATGACAGCAATTAAATCATTGCTGGTAAAGTTAAAAGTCCTACGTTCAGTTCCACCAGAAAGTTTCTTGCATGAAATTTGAGTTGATAAAAAGAACAAGAATAAACTAACCCATCATTTACTACAAGAAAAAAAAGGCAGAGTACAGGAAAAGATGTCTCAGAACTAAACATAGTTTAGACACTATAATACTCAGAACCAGTGTTTTGATACTGGTTCTGATACCGGGCCCAGCCCGGCTAGTTGAACCGGTTCAACAGGGACCCGGGGCCTTCGCCGGGCGGGTTATCACTTTTAACTATTCACCCTAAACCCTAAAATTATGGACGACGATCGGTGAGCATACGACGGCAATTATGTTGGGGCTTTTGGAGGAGTGCTGGTGAGTCAGAAGGTGGTAAAAAAGAGTGATTTCTGATAAGTGAATCGACCGGAAAAGGCAAAAATCAATCAGCCAAAACAGCAGCCTACTACCGACGATTGGCAAAGCGAATGAGACAAGGGTGAGATGGGTTTGATCTGGAGACTGAGGCGAGTGTTTTCGTGGTGATGGAGTATTGTCGTCATCAGAAACAGGCCCTATTTGGCCTGGGCTGTCGATGCCGGCTGTGGTGTTTGGGGTGTTTTTGCAAGATTTCAAACCTATAGGGACTTCTATGTAATTTTCAAGAGTATTTTTGTTGAATTTCAAACCTTTAGACACCGGTTTGACCAGTCAGTCAAACTGATTCAACCGGTCAATCCAAGACCCGATCACTTTGCCAGATTTCACCCCGGGTTGGTTATTAAAACATTGCTTAGAACAGACGAGTAATTTAAGAAAACCAACTGATTTATCAATAAATGACTTCAACAAAATAAATGAAGGGAATCTACTCGTCATTGAATGGTTACACTGGATTTATCAAAAATCTGAAGGGTTTCTTGTAAACCAAAAACAAAAAAAAAAAAAAAGGGTATCGACTGAGCTTATAAAAATGAAACACAGGTTTTAGCGATAAAGACCTCTGTAAATTTAGCCAATAATAAAACAAAACCGATTTGTATGAATAGGAAATGAGATTCCACTAACACAGCCAATTTTACAAGACTTAAAATGCCTGGTTGCGGCAGTATGAATTTAACCAACAATTCAGAGAATGAGTTGAGACTGCTCACATGTGATGCAACTGTAAGATTGAGTGCAACACCTCCAGCTTTCAAGCTCATGAGAAAAATCCTGCAATCAGGATCTTCTGTAAATTTCTTGATTGCAGCATCCCTTGCATCTATAGACATACTTCCCACTAATTGAACACAACCTATGCCAGACTGCAGAAAGTTTACTATTAGCACTGAAATCCTTTTAAAATGCAAATAGGAAACTCCAATTCGGCAGTTACTCTACCTTATAGAGAGCGTAATTTATGAGATCTAAGAATGATGTGAACTGGCTGAAAACAATTCCTTTTGCAGAACCATCTCTTTCAACCATGAATCTAATCTCTTCCCTCTACAGCAAAGGAAATCCACTTGGCAATGGGTAAAATAACAGAAAATAGTAACAAATATGGACATATCCAAAAATATGAAAACAAATCAGCAAGACAATCATAAGATCACTGTTTTATCTTAATTACATTGTTCTTTTGTTTTAATCTTCTTAAAGTGAGCTGAAGTTAGATCTTTGAGGGAGAAGGTAATTTATGATGATAATAGACAAACTTGTTAAACGATCCTAATTTTATCAATCAAAATAAGGTCTACTCATCATCAGCTAGTATCCTAGGTAAGTCCAACTGCATAAATCATATAAGCTGTTCAATGGCTGTTGTAGAAGGGTGCATAACATGTACTTAAAGCATCACAAACTGTGTCACCTTCACTTTTCATAAATCAACTGATATTTTTACCTCCAACTTTATTCTAATGTCACCTTTCATCAATTTCAATGTCCAGATCTCAGCCACCTTTAACTTCTATGTTGATAAGAATTTAGCATCTATAAGTAGCGTATAAATATTTTTAGAAAGAGAAATTTACAGGAATTCAGAGTTAGATTAGTTAACACATTAATAGAGACAATTCATGCCATAGTCATATGCTGATGAAAAATTACAGAAGCAAAAACCAAAAACTCCATGATGATAATCATAAGAATGAAACTAATGCATTAACATTTAAATTTGTTTTTCTCTCATCCCAAAACCAATGCTCGCATGTGCCTTGCTACATGCAGAGGATGTCCTTAATCAGAGAAACGTGCTAAAGGATGTGCCTTGCTTTTTTTTTTTTTTTTTTTTTAAACATATTATATAAAGTGAAAAAACAATGAGAGAACTCACAGTTTCAAGCAACACTTACCAAAGCCTCTATTTTTGTGCTTGTCTGAAAATCATCAAGTTGAATCCTATTTAGAATACTTGAGGACTTAAACCCCTTAATTGTTGTTTTACTAGTACAATCTCCAGCACTGTCATTGGTGATAAAATCAACAGTAAGTGGAATTGAACATGTAGGGCACTTTGTTCTGAACTTTGAAGCAGAAGGATCAAACAAACAAGCTTTACAAAAGGCATGTGCACAACTGGTAACCTGCACAATAAGATAAAAGTTTGGAAGAGTCAAATGAACACTAGGCTCAGAGCAGCTCAGGTTTACAGGAAACAAAGTCAAGGACTCCCTAAAGACAAGTTCATTTTGCGTTGAAAACCCAATATTCTTATTGTTGTAAAATGTACCAAACAACACAGAGGTAGTATAACAGTAAATTTATATACTAAAGCCAAGACAATACGGGAATAGGATCATTTCTCAGTCACTTGCATGTACATTTGACCTTACAAGGATAAAAATAAGCACATCTCTCTTCTATTAATTTATCAAATCTTTGACTCAGTTAATGTTCCATCAGGCTACATGAATGAATGTTAGTAATGACCAACTTTTGTGCAAACATACGCAAAAAGAGATAGGGAACCAAAAAAGCAGGCATAGGAAAAAAAAGAAAAAAGATTGAAGCTATAATTAGAAAATGATAACTCACCACAGGATCATCAGCCAAGTCATGGCAAACACCACATATTTTTTTAACAGGTTCAGTATCAGCCTCGCTTCCACCTTTTAGTGTAGCAGTTCGAGAATATACAACAAGGTAAGGATGATCAACTGCCTACAATTTTACACAAAAAGACATGAGAAGCATCCTCACAAATGCAGAAGTATATATCACAAATCTATGTGAACTTATAGTAAAAAATAAGAGGACTTCATATCTTAAAATTCCCACCTTAGAATATATATATATATATATATATATATATATAGAGAGAGAGAGAGAGAGAGAGAGAGAGAGAGAGAGAGTTATCAACAAGGGCTGGAATAAATTAGTTGCATTCACATTCAATAAATAATTTTTTTACATATTATTCTTCAATCCACCATAAATTATTCTAGAGAAAGAGAATCTAAACAAATCACAAGGTAAAAATCTATGACAAGTAATTAACAGTGAATAATCACTCACCTGCCGCAATCGTGTGAGGAGGTCAAATATATGAGCATAGTTATTCATCACAGTTCCTGCTTGGACATATCTGAATAGGAAAAGCATAAACTTAAACTCATTAATATTCTATGAAATTAGAAAATAATTTATTGAAAATTAAAATTGACAAAGATTCAGTTAATTCAAAAGAGTTCCAGAAGGTTGCCATTTCTCAATCAACAATATGCTATTTGGACAAAAAGCAATGTACGATAGAAAGGGGGTAGCATACGTGTTAAATTGTGCCTGGCTTTCACTATATAACGACTCATAATAATCCGCTTCTCTAATATCCAGGCTATCCCGCCTCAATGAAACCTGTAAGACACGAACATTTGAAGCAAATAGAATGTCAAAACATTTAGAACAGGATAACGGAAGCAATATCTCTTGAACAGGAAGGAAAACTTACAACTCTAGGAGGAAGAGCAAGATCAGCAGCTCTTCCTTTTTTAGTGCGTCTTAGAACTATGTTTTTCAAAATTTTGTGCTTTAGCAATATCATAGCTCTTCTTCCTTTGTCAAGATTTCCATGTGCTTGCACTGGAGTGGCCACATACTGACAATGATGATACATTAAAATATATTTCCCCCAAAAAATATTCTGAAAACCATAAAAACAAACCAAAGACAAGGAAGAAATTGCAAAACTCACTCGATTCCACCAACAAAAATGCCTCACGGAACTATGAGAGCAGTTTGGACATTCTGCTGAACTGTTAAAAGTCATCAGGATCAAATGATGTATATAACTATCTAAGAAACTGTTAAAAGATTCCAGCCAAAAACTAGTCCAACTAAAATTGCAAAGAAAAGGGAAAGAAGAGAGGAACCAGTGGAGAAAAATAAAAATAAAATGTGGTTACAGTGAGCAAATTGGCCAGATACAGGCAACCAACTCAACAACCGTTACTTCTGAAATAGATCACTTTGTCCAACATACAAAAAGTCAAGATGGGGAGAGAAGGAGAAGCAACGGAAAATGAAATTGAACTAGAAATCAACTGGATTTACCAACAGTTAAATAAAAAAACTACAAAATGTAGCCAACACACTCAGCTGTTTCCTTGCTGGCCAATACACAGACAATAAAGAAAACTTGTAATTTGACAAGGATTTCAGGACAGTGTACTTAAGAAAGAATAGCTAATCCAAACGCAACATACAAATTTATAATACAGAGGTCAGGTAGAGGCAAAAATGCTTCCAAAAACTCCCATGTTACAGAGATTATAATACAAGAAGAATGACATAAGGTTAATAAGCAATTTATGGACTCCTTAAAGAACTAAAAAGGCTAGGTCCATTCCAAAGATGAGCTCTCACCTGATAGAAAAGTTATTGTAATGTAATTGCTTGTAAAGAAGAAAACAAATCTAGTGGAAGAAATTATAATGAAAATATCCAATACTCCTAGCAGAAAGGAGCATAGCATGAATAAGTCATTTACAATTTTACATCCAATTCACATATTAACAATGGCAAGCAGCAAGGTCATCACAAAAAACACACCGCTATTAAAAATCTTGAAATGGAAACCAACCTGTAATCAAGAACCCTGCAGTCACAGTCCTTGCACAAGTAATATGAGTATGGAGTTATTTGCAAGAAGCGAACCTGTTGGAAATGCAATAACAAGCTTATAAACTTGAGGGAATGAGTTGCTTTATTGGTTTTTGTTTTACATAAAGTAATCTTACCAAAGAGTAAAGTTCCCCAACACGGTTCTGAAGAGGAGTGCCACTTAAAGCCCATTTGTATGAAGACTCTAAAGAAAGAACGGCTTTTGCAGTATTACTGCGTCTATCTTTTATAAAATGAGCCTAAATTTGGAAAGAAGAAACTATAAATATTATCAAAAAGATCAATAGGCTACCATCTTTGATAACATAAAGTGACAAGCAGACTTTAGCAATAAAGTTTAAAAAAGAAAAAAGGAACAGAACGTAATAAAAACTGCATTCATAATCTTTGGAGCAGGCATTTACAATCACTAACTCTGTACTTATCAAGTACCAATCCAAACAGTTAAAACTTCTTCTTCTTCTTCTTTTAATTTAACGTTGTTCTGGAAGTAAATATAAACAGTAAGATTTGTACTAGAGAGGATGCCAAGAAAACTCACTGTGGCATATAACAAAGTAAGTCTAGTTTGAATTAACAACAATATATCAATTGCAGCAAATTCACACTAAACACATGCTCATGTGAACTTACCTCATCCAAAATGATTCGCACCCACTTCACAGAGTGCAAAAGGGATCTCCCTCTGGACAAGTTATTTACACCTGCTGATGAAGAATCCATTTCAAATGATGTTCTCTTGCCGTGTCTCTTATCCATATAAGCCTCATCCGGTGTGCTCTTTCCTTCAGCAGATTCCACATGTAGATTCAACGTCAACTCTGAAGCTTTGATCTTTTTCTTCTCTTGTTTAGACTGCTTAGCAGTTCTAACAGCATTAGGCCCACAAAAATATTTCAGATGTATTACGAGCTTCTTCTGATAAAAAGGCTTCCCACAGTATGGGCATTTCTGCTTGGGTGGCATCATATACTTCCTGTACTCGGCTTCAACAGTGTTGTATGTTGTAATGACAAAATCATATTCCAGGAATTGCTTAGCACTCTTCTCTCTGTTGGATCCATGATAGACCAGCACGTTGGTGCTTCCTATTGATGTAAACCTATTGATCTCGGATTCCCACTGTCTCACAGCAACCACAGGACAAATTACAAGGGTGCATTTGACTCCAGGAAGAACAGTTGATGAACCAGAGGGTCCTTCAGGTTCACCAATTCCCCAGAAATGTTTCCGCTTGGCGAGTACAAGAGCTATTGCTTGAACAGTCTTCCCCATTCCCATCTCATCGGCAAGGATACCCCCTCTAACAGCAGATTCTTCCTGTTTTAAAGCCCAGGCCAACCATTCCTTTTGGTACCTGAGCAAAGGCATGACCAAATCCGGTGGCTCATCAGCAGTCTCACTTATTATTGCATTCTGCTGATCCAAATCAACATCGTTTATTAGATGCTCATCAATCCATCTTTCATTCTCTTCTTCCCAAATTTCCCACAACAATGTTGGATGTTTCTTCTGTTTTTTCCTCTTTCCTGGAGTTTTCTTCTTCCGATTCAAACCATTTCCATCCCCTTTTCCTTGAGTTGCTTGTAGCTCATTATTCTCTTGCTTCGAAGATTCAACCTCCCCAGTACTCTGTGAAGACACAGCATATTTTTGTCTTTGAACGTAGTCAAAAAACTCTAATCCTTCACCTACATGCATATCTCATAGTTGGTCACAATACAATCCACATCTAGAATCGACTATAACATCTTGTTCCACATGCCCCATTTGTTTTTATGGATAAAACCCCTTAAAAAGCATTCCCAAATTATTGTATTCCTATTCCACTTCATAAATATTCCATTGAATACAGGAAATACTGTCCATTTAACATTTACCATAAAACATAAGCAATTTACTGAAATCCTTCAACTAATATTCCAAGTAATTATAACAGTGAAACATTTTACTAATAACAAAAGAAAGGATAGCAGAAATAACTTACCTTCATCACTGGACTTGCTAAGATCAGAATCTGAAGAAGGCACATAAATCTCATCATTATAGAAAGCACGTGGCTTAGTCAGGTAATCTTTCTTAAGATTCTTTACTCGTCTACCGCCTGCTTCATTATTACAGATCAATATTAACGGATACAGGAACACAAAACCTCTTTGGGTTAAACAAATCAAACACATTCTGTTACCATTCATTTCTGCTCCATAAACCAAACAGAATTCAACCAAAATATTAAAAAAAAAAATGTAGTTAGCACAACTAAAGAAAGAATTTATGCACAGCCAAATTCTATAATTATCAAGTGTTAGTAGCAGAAGTAATACTAACAACAACAAAAATAAATAATAATAACAATAATTAATCTATGCTAACAACACAAAAAATTAACCAATGACTCCATAACTAACATGCACTATAGATCTAAAATGAAAACCTGGAAACAGAATATCGAATCTTCTCTTCTCACTCCTGGATCTCTTCTTGAGATGCAGTCCCATCTTCATATCAAATTCAGTTTTTTCCTTTTCTGCTGGTGCACCAACATCAGCTTCTGTTGCAACTACGTTCTGATCCCTTGCTTCCACAACTATGACATCTGATTCACTATTGGCTCTAGTCTGGGAAATGGTTAAATTTTCCTCTGAAGTCTCAACTTCTACCCATTTTTTATCATCTTCCTGGTCTTGTTCATTTCCTACATCATAATTGAAGATTTTATTAACAAGAAAATCACTTTGCTCACACAATCGTCTAATGTTACAGGAGACAAAAAGATTCGTTAATGTGGAACATCAGATTTGTAATTTGCAATCTCATATAGATAGTAATCAACATTACCAATCGGGTACATAATGTAAAAACAGTGAGAAGGAATAAGTGATTAGTAACTATTACCAGTCACGTGCTGAAACTGACCTAATAGCATTACAAATCAGTACCATGTCATGAACTTTTCTTTCTCTCCTTTTTTTGGAAACAACTTGTAAATTGAAAATGAGAATAAAAATTACAATGGTGGAACAGGTGTCCACCGCAAGAGTGCCAGATTTTAACCAAAAAAAAAAAAAAAAAAAAAAGGTAATCTGTGTATAACAGCCTAGAGAGCCACGAAAAAGCAGTACATAGAAACTCAAGACCCCTAGCCAGCTATGAATATTTATTAATAAGATACCTTGGATCCCATGTCATGACTCATAAGCCTACAATCAAATACACGGATACAAAACCCTCTTTGATTCACAACAACCACTAAACCACACGCATTATGTTCCTACAACTTTCCGCCGTAAGAAGAAAACAGAATTAAAACAGAAAATTTCAATAACCATTTAAATACAAAAGATTCAATCGTAATTTCACATATTCGAACAACCGATTAAAATGACAATTTCTGGCGTGCCAAACAATCCACAAAACCAACGACCAAACAGCGCTGATTCTCAGAATGAAAACAAAAACAAAAAACCTAGAAATTCTTGCGTTCCACGAATCCGAAAACTGAGGTTCAAAGAACTAACTTTTTTTTTTTTTTGGCACATTCATTCAGGAACCAAACAGACAGGTAAAAAGAAAAGAGAAATAAGATTTCGAAAAGTTACCGCGGGAAGATGATTCACCAATTCGTCGACGAGAACGAAGCTCCATGGGAGAGTTAGGGTTTGGAATTAGGGGATTTTTCTTTTTAAACAGAAAAAAAAAAAAAAAAAGAGAGAGAGAGAGAGAGAGAGAGAGAGAAAGAGAAAGAGAAAGGAAAGGAAGCGTTTGGAGGGTTAGTCAAAGAATAGACGGTGAATGGCAGTGGGCTTTGTTTTAGGAAAAAACGACTAGTGTGTGAATGAGTGTTTTGAGTGAGTGACGATTGTGCGGCGGGAAAGTGCTACCTAACACCCCGCCAATAATTTTTACTGTGTATTGCACGGTAATTTTTTGTTTCTTTGCGGTAAAGTTGTAAGTGTAATATTGTGTAAATAAACACAAATTGCCTCGTGAGAAGTTTTGCCTGTTAATCCTTACCTCAATAATTTTTAATTTAAAAGTGTTTTCATAAAAAAGAAGTGAGAATTTTTTTATGTACAAATATTTATTATATATATTTGTAGAATTCGTTGCAAGAGTTGGATATGAAAGTGGAATTAGGAGATAGGCAGTTTAGAAGTTAAAGTTAATGAATCAGTTTATTCTTATTAATTACTCATAGTGGAGTGGATTCCATTTGATAGGGTCAATGTAGGTAAGTATGCTTTGACCAACATTCAACAATAATTTATTTGAAAACTTTACAGTTATTTGTTGACTTTTAATGAACACTTTAAAATCTTGTTTTACAAAGAAATATCAAGAAAGCTTTTAATACGGTATGTATATAACCAATCAGTTAGTAATGAATTAACTACACTTGTTGTGCAACCGTTTATCATGCTTTCCAGTGTTGGAAAGCCAAGCTCGAATGTTGGATGGAGGAGATAATATCAGAAACCTATCACTTAAGCCTATTTCGGCGATTGATTAATAGTAAATGTTCATACCTGTAGAATTCAGAAAAGCATGAGTCATTTTGGGGGTACACCTTCTGCTAATGAAGAGTACTGTTATCAAGAGAGTTTGACAGAAAGACCAAAGAGAAGAAAATTTTGCAGGTTACAAAATTAATTTATAATTAAGTAGCCCATACCTGGTCAATCTTTTCATGGTCATGATATATCATATATGCATGAGTTGGAGAGTGGACACTGCGCTCTATCACCTTACTGTAAATGTACGTTTGATTGAGTCAAACATTTTTAACTTCTTTGGTAATTAAACTAGTGGGAATTAACAGAGTGAGGCCTGAGGAATCTAAATTAATAATGTGTATATTGTTGCGGGGAAGATGATGTATTTGGGGAGTCCCATATCGTAACGAATAATGATTAAGGAAAAAGGAGAAGATTGAACCTGATAAAGATATTGTCACTCTGATGGAGTGTCATCGTGGGTTAGTATAGGATGTGGTCATATAATGAGACTATTGAGATCCCATCACCATGCATGCAGTAATGACTTGTCGAGATCATTCTCTCAGATCATGTAGATCTGCTATAGCGAGGTATGAATAATGAAATTACTCTATTTCTGCCGCATTTGAAAACACTGGCCATGCGCCTTTCATCTCTGATATGCAATCGCCTTTGTACTTGTTATAGACACAAATCATATTCATGTACTACAAAAAGTATGATCTTCTTTCACAATTTCATTTCTTTACTCATTAGAAGTAAACTTTTATTACATGATAACCAAAATCTTCGCGATTAAGAAACTGACAAAAACAACAAACTCACATTTCAACATCTTTAATTAACAGTTGGTTGCTACTTCTAGCTTTAAATTGACAAAGGTTGGTTTTTGAGACTCAAATTTTAATTATCTGCCGCCACCACCACTGCCGCTACCAGAGCCGCTGCCTACTCCATGGCCAGCTCCTGCTCCAACTCCAATGCCTATCCCAATTCCAATCCCAATTCCACCTCCACCACCAACTCCATGCCCTCCACCAATACCACCTCCTGCTCCTCCTCCAGCACCTCCTCCTACACCTCCACCAGCTCCAAACCCACCACCATGACCTGAACCCCCACCTATTCCTCCTCCACCCCCGCCTCCAGCTCCTCCGCCGCCACCTATGCCTCCACCAGCTCCACCTCCTACACCCCCACCAGCACCAAAGCCACCCCCATGTCCAGATCCTCCACCTAATCCACCCCCACCTCCTCCACCTCCACCCCCACCACCACCTCCTCCTCCTCCTGCACCACCACCACCCACACCTCCTCCAACACCAAAGCCACCACCGTGGCCAGAACCACCACCAACTCCACCTCCTCCTCCTCCTCCTGCTCCACCACCAATACCACCTCCAGCCCCGCCACCAACACCGCCTCCAGCTCCAAAGCCTCCACCTTTACCCGAACCACCTCCAACGCCTCCTCCTCCACCACTACCAAAGCCTCCACCTCCACCTACACCTCCTCCAGCACCACTACCAACACCACCGCCAGCTCCAAATCCTCCGCCTTTACCTGAGCCACCTCCTCCACCCGCTCCAGCACCTCCACCTAAACCTCCTCCAGCACCACCACCTCCACCCAAACCTCCTCCAGCACCACCGCCAATGCCTCCTCCTCCACCTGCTCCACCACCGATACCTCCTCCTCCACCAGCTCCACCACCAATGCCACCACCATAACGAGGTCCGCGACCACCAAACCGACCACCACAACGTCTTCGACCCCATCTACAATCATCATCACCACGCCACCTAGTTTTGTCAACCTTATCATCACCAAGAGTGAGTACACACAAATGAAGGGAAATGCAAAAGAAAAGGATAATCAAAGAAACCCATTTTTGAGAGAAAGCCATGGCTTCTTGTTGCAACAGCCAGTGCAATAGAAAGTGTGAGTTCACAGTTTCCGTATTGCTTGGTGTTGTTTGATCAAAGAGTGTCCTTATTTATAGGCTTCAATGTTTCATCAACTGGCAAACTCTTTACTACTCCACTAGGCAAGAATTAATTGGCTCATGACTGCATGTTAATGTGACGCGCTGGAACCGTTGGGGAAATGGCGGGAACATTTATTGAGAAGACGGAAGTCAAAGAAGAAACGAATAATTGCATGGAAGACATTATATACGTACTTAGTTGCATTGCTAATTTGGCATTCACTTTAAGGTCTTACCTTCTAAATTAGAACAACTTTATGAATTATTTACTCAACATTTGTCAAACATGTAAAATACGGTTGGCATCTCATCATTCGATTCAAAAAAAAAAAAAAAACATTGCGAATTAATTATTAGAAGTAACCTTGTAAATTAGGCATTCATATCCTGTAAACAAGTAAATATATTTTTAATTTTCTATCTAGGATTAATACAAGCATAGTAAGTTAACTAGTTAAAAGCTTTATTATGTTTATTTAATATTATATATATTGAATTTATTATTTTAGAAAAGGTATTTTGAGTATGTTTTTAGACAGTTAATTTACAAGATCTGTATTTTCTTAAAGTGCATTTTTTATCAAAGAACGTGAAAACTCAAATTAAATTTCTTTTTCAGTAAGTATTTGGTAAATACGTTTTTAAAAATACTAGTAGGAAGTATTTTTACTTAAAAAACCATTTTCGTTTAAACTAATCTTAAAACATATAAACAGCCAAATTCTTCTAGTTTATAAAAGGTGTTCAACTTTACTTGATTTTTGCATCTAGATCTGAGTAGCTTTTGATAATGGCGTTATTTGTTTTTCAAATTAAATACAGGGGATGTTTTATTTGTTAAACAAAAATGATATTTTGATATAAAAGAACTGTATAGTTTTAAAGCATAATTGAACAAAAATTAATAAATATTTTTTATATTTTCTAAAAGTAAGAAATTACAGCTGAAACTCTCTCTTCGATCCTCAGGTATAGAATTAATGGATATTGCAAGCATGAGCTGTCCATTTTAATTAGTTTACGCATATCAGTTTGGCCAATGGATTTATACATGTATGATGTACCCAAAATTAGTCAACGCCACCGGCGCTTGAGGTGTTGACTTCAACTCCGCTTATTCAGTCCACGCTCAATAAAGTTTAGAAATTAGACATAACTACACCCAGTCCTGCATTAATTAAAGAAAATAGATAATGCATAGAAAAGAGATTTTGAATTTCTTTCATAGGTCTCCATACTTGGCAATATTAATCCACGCAGGGTAACATTTGAGACGCACCTTCTTCAGCCCAACATCTATACATACAACGCCAGATTTTTTAAGTCAGATCTAGCAGTCTCCTGAGGCTGTCGTTTATACTGATTAAATGATTTCCTCGAGGCAGAACACAGTACTCTTTCTATTATGAATAAACATACTATATCTTTTAATTGTGCTTAGAATTAGAAGTGATTTCATCAAGGCAAAACAAATTTTATCTTCTCACGAAGCAGATAGTGAAATAGTTCAAGTCATTTTCTTGTTGCAAATGTACATTCAATTGATAGATGGCATCTCTTGAAATTGTATAGAAGGTTTTAAGATCAAATTTCATCCGGTGTTTAATTTCAATTTTTTTAAGTTGGAAAAAAAAAAATTAAATAATAAAAAAAACATATTAAAATAATCAATGATGATTAAGAGAGAAAAAGAAATGTTCCAAGTTCCCCATTGGATCTAATAAATCTAAAGCTTTTAAATTACACAAGATTGGGAAAATCATTCTTGTGTTGAGGGAATGTATGTACTAATGAATTAACAAAGAACTCGCTACTATCAAGAACAGAATTAAATTGGCTTGAGTTAAGCCAGTATAAAATTTTGAACTCCTAGTTTCCCAGATCGTCACCCACTTGTGACGCATTAGTAATCAGGGCAGTGTTTTACAGGGATCGAGTTCGATGCCCTACTGCCTTGCCGCATAGAAGAGCATTGGATGGGATCGGATATTCATCCCTCCATGAATTTGCAGGCGAATATACGCGAAGATAGAATTGTTGTCCCAAGTACTGGCGAGCCCAGTTCTCAGACCTTATATTCCACATTCCCACATTGTCCAAAGGCATGTAAACTGCAGTCCATGACTTGGGATACACCTGCATTTTAAACACAGCAACGTAACCAAAGTGCATTTGTTTTCAATCAATCTTAATCAGAATCTTTCTTTAGAGAGCACTTGTGAGAGTTGTCCTATTTCGATTAGAAATACGAAAATAGGGATTTATAAGCTAAGGAAAATTGGTGGCCCATTTCTTGTATTGCCATTCCTTGGGTCAAAGTGGAGATCAAATGGCATTTCCAATTACTTTTGAAGGAGTACAAAATTATTATGGCAAAAAAGATGGGAGGATTTTCTGATGTGCAGAGTTAAAATATTGTGAGTAAAAAGATTTGAAACACCATATATTGCAGAGACTATATTTCAGAAGTTAAAAATAATTTTCTTTTGTCCTACCTGAACAGTGCAACGAGAAACTGTGTCTCTCAAATTGTAAGTTAACCGGCTTGCGGGTGTCCACTCCCCTCCATCCATCCTGGTCATAACAATATTGCCACAATTTCAGAATCTAGAAGGTAGAAATAGCTAATACTTGCAGCAGTTATAAGTAATGGCTAATTCTACCAAATTCATAATTATTGAAACATATAGGCTTACCCCACAACAAAGAAGTTATGGCCATCAATATGCCAAGACTGCAAAGTATCTTCAGGATTCTCAAAAATAACCTCAGCATAACCCCGGAAATCTGCAGCCATGACAGAAGTCTGGGTATAAGCACCACCGCCAGTGGGGTTATCTGGAATGCTTCCAAGGCTGAATACTCCAGAGATCTTGAAGTAGTCAGCCAGCTTAAGAGGCGTATCAGCTGGGATGAACGATACACTATTGACAGCATACCTCTGCTTGCCATTGATAATTGGAGCAGAGTTTTCAAGTCTAACAGTATGGGTAGTGTTGATCAATCCATAGTGGTATGAACCTTGGGGATTAGGTCTTGGTCCACTGGCTGTTAGATTCCGTCTGGTTCGCAAAATTAATGTTAGCGAATCTCGGTAGAGTTATCAAATAGAGTTGATTTTGTATAACTAGTCATGTTTGAAGTAAGATACAAAATAAGATAAAACATTATGATTATAATAACAAAATGCAGGAGGTAAATGCTAGAAATGAAACAGAGGTTTGACAAATACCTGAGAGAACGAGCTTGTTCAAGAGACCAATCGACCTGAGTTGTTGGACCACCAGGGGGAGGACCAGAAACACTACCAGCTGAGTTACTGTAATGAAGAATTGAGGTTGCGGAGAGCACTTGAGAGGTGAAACGACTTGAGACAACAATATAGTAATCTTGTGCTGGTTGATCAGCGGTCACCAACACCGAATAGGACTGTCCCAAATGGATGTCAAGGGAATCATATGTGTTCTGAAGTGTGTGGGTTCCTTCCACCTCCACCAGAAGCATTTTGTGACCCTGGATTCTGAAATTGATGGAAGTTGTAAGCCCCACATTTGATATCCGGAACCTGTAAGTCTTGCCTGGATAGCAAATTTAAGCACAAACTCATGTTATATAAAAACCATTAAATCAAAACGTGTACACAAGGCGAGTCTATTTATAGCAATCACTGACCCTGATCCACAGTGAATGTGTACCCATTTGCTCCACGACCATTGATAAGTAGTCCATCAGGGAAGGGAAGATCACTTCCACCATCTAAAATCGCTTTCAAATCCTGTAAGATCCAAGCAAAGCTTATCACCACATACACGCTTTGTCATGTTTGATGCTCAATGTCAACGTAAAATATGCATTGGAACATAGAAATTTTTCTGGGTAGATTACTAACAGTGTGATTTTTGTTGAACCAATCACCAGCCAGGATGGTGAAATCTCCAGCAGGCGGATCAAAAGGCACAGGAATAACAGAGCGGCTAGCAATTGTGATGCCACCATACCCACCTGCAGCCTTGTGGAAAGCAAGAGAGGGGAAATAGAAGTAGCTACCAATTTGATCCTTCACTTGTAGAACATATGTGAAGTTCTGGCCAGGTGGGATGGGGCAGTTCGTGCCATAAACTCCGTCTTGCCAAGAGTTCCTTCTTTGTTGTACACCATTCCTACAAATGAATTACATAACATCGTGGTAAGTCTTCCAATCTATTCTTTACAAGTCCCAATAACATTGTAAACTAGTACTAGGTCACGTGATAGTGGGGTGAGCTGTTACTGTTCACACAATGTAAACATTCTACATTAAACTAATCTAGCTTCTGTTAGTCACACATATATTTGGAATAAAACTACACGTAATTTCAAATTTCCAATATTAGTACTTAGATTAATACACATTGGTTAGTTGGTTAGTGTATATAGGATTACTCGTATATTTGTCACTGTCTTATACAGGATTTTTTTCATTTTCTTTATTATTATTATTTTTTTAATCTCTCTTTTATAAAATAAAATAAAATGTTCTTATCACGTCATGAAACGTGTTATATTAAACAAAGCGATGTCTATGAGTGGGCCAAAGTATGACTTCTACAGTCATGTGTTTAATTTAGATTACTGATTGTTATACCTCATCATTACTCTCAATAATGTGATATGGACTACATAGTCAAGAAACGTAATATTGTCCCCGGGCACCATGTGGAATCTGACACAATTGGTCCCAGCAGTTGGTCATCTTTAAAGACGAAGAAAGTTCACATTTACCATATTTTAGGTCCTAATCTATACTTACTAGTTACTAAAAGGTTGATGAAGATTCGATGTTTATATTTGAGGCAGCCAAACCAATATAGAATCTTAAGGTATATGATCTAACGTAAACACAGCCTTAATCTTCATCTTTTTGTTTAAATACAAGTAAT